ATGCATTTTATAACCCTCTCTCACCTAAATCACTCCGTCTTTTTTTCAATGTGGGAATGAAACATTTGTACAACTACAAGTTTACAACCTAACCTTCCCGAGTTTCAAAGAAGAGTTGCGTAATAAGTGGAAATAAAGGGTTGCTTGATTTGTAATTCTGAAAATAGTTTTTAAAAATTCAAAAAACTAAAAACTTTTATAATTGAGTTTTCAGAAAATAGAACCAAGCAGTATTTTTTTGTATAGTTTTCAGTTCAGAAAACTTTTTCCATAATTACAAACCAAGTATGCCCCAAAAGTTCCAAGGAGGATTGGTTGGTTGTAGTATAGATATACATAGATATAGAGAGTAATTTTTTATTTCCACCATTTAGAAAATGAAAATAGAAAACAAGAATGATACCAAATGGGCCCGGAACTTTTACTGTTGAGTCATGGATTGACTAGTTTAAAGCCCAAGTCTGAGTTCATTGATGGGTTTGAATTCCCAATTTGGGCTAGGCCTTATTGAACTTGCAACGCTTTCAATGTGAAAATCACTAAGTTGGTCCATTACAAAGATTAATGAAATTCAATGATTGGTATTTGGGTGCATAATTCAAATTTTATTATGTTATTACATAATTTTGGATTGAAAAATAAAATATATATTAATTAATCTTTTCAAATTCTGTTTAACATATTCTTCCAATCAAATGATTAGGTAGACAATCACTTGTTATAAAAACTTTAAATTCACGTTAAGATTAAATATATAAGAATTCCTTTTTAAGTTATTTATATTAGAAATTGCCAATAAGGTTCAACTTTGAGTGCGCTTAAATTGAAATTTTTTGAAGAAAAATGAAAAAGAAGGAACATTGTGTTTGATTTTAAAATGAGAAAATAATAGGAGGGACAGGGGTAAGGAGGGAAAAGAAGTGATCCGTAAAATAGTATTTTTTTTTGTTATCCTTCAAAATAATAACAATAATAATAATAATAATAATAATAATAAACACAAGAAAAAGATAGGAGAGTTAGTAATTATTATTATTATTTTTAATTTTTTTACCACAACAATACCCTCTCACGTGTAAGAGTTCTTACACGGACTTCGGACTTGTTCCTACATGAACTTCAGCTCTCGATCTTTACTTTGGAAGATAAAGAAAATATCTCTAAATTACAAGTGAATTCCTATTTTTACTTTATGGCTAGAAAACATAACAAAAATTTCCTTTATTTTTTCTTTATTATCTTTTCAAACAACTACCAATATCAAATTGTTATTTTTCTACTTAGATATTAAAAGATGGAGAGAGACAATTTGTTTATGATTCATAAGGACTAAAAAATAGAACTCTTATTAAAGAAGAAAGCAAGAATCTCTCATAGAGCTCTCTTTTCATCTGAACAGACCCACACAAAGCTTTAAAAATAGTACCTTCCCATAAAAAATAAAATAAAAAGGTTTAATAATAGGGAAAATTACATATAAATGGAGTCAAAGTTTCATATTTACTTAGAGACTGAGTCAAAGTTCCATATTTCTCTAAAATGGATTGCTGAGGTGGCACATGATTTTTTACCGTTTAAAAAATTGTGGTACCTAAAATGCCCTTCCCTAATAAAAAAGTAGTACCTCAGTTCAAAAAAGTAGCACCTTCAGTTCAAAAAAGTAGTACCTTCGGAGAAAAAGTAGTACCTTCGCGAGTGTTTAAAAAACATGGTACCTGGACGCCAAAAAGTAGTACCTTCGAAGAAAAAGTAGTACCTTCGCGGAAGGGTATTTTAGGCATCACAATTTCTAAACAGTAAAAAACCATGTGCCACCTCAGCAATCCATTTTAGAAAATTATGGAATTTTGACTCAGCTTCTAAGTAAATATGAAACTTTAACTCCATTTATATGTAATTTTCCCTTAATAATAGTCTAATAATAGTAAGAAACTTTTTTTATTAGTAATTTGTAATAATAGTATTAGTAATATGTATGAAATGGGCCAGAGAGCCAAAAACATAGAGCAGGGCACAGGATAAGGCCAGGCCCAAATAAGAACAGAAACAGTTGATCCATATTATTGGTCCGACACTGCGACACAATAACAACGTAAGAAACTTCTCCGAAAGCAAAAGCAGAACGTCCAAGCCACGTGACTTGTCTCCATGGCAATGCACGTACTTTGCCCACATCTCACGTGAGCGAACGGCACGTGCTCTCACGTTCTCTCTCAAGCTATAAAAAAAAAACTTATTAAGATCACTCAACGGAGCGAACCAAAACCATCACGGAAAAGGCAACCCCCTATACATTCTCGCCACGTGGCATTGACCACCGTCAGCTTTGGCTTTAACACGAGCAAAGGCACTCACATGGTTCGCTGACACACCCCTCAACCCCTGTCACGTGCAACTTCGACACCACACACTTTAAAAAAATTTAATATAATTATAAAAAAAAACTAAAAAAAATAAAAAATAAAAATATCTGATTAATGTAAACCTCCACGCCAAGCAATCACCCAGGTACCATCTCTTTTTCAGTCTTTCCTTTTAATTCAAGCATTAAAGTAAAATGGTAAAAAAAAACTATATACATATACACATGCACACACATACATACAGAGCAACTGTATCATGAGATTGCCTCATAACAGTTATGTGCTATATCACGTGATTACAAAAGATAATATACCATATTGTTCATATTACTTAATAGTCGTATCCCATTATAAGAAAGAAAACAAATTTCGTTAAAAATCTGAATTTTAATTTCAAGATCTCTATTCGATACTTTAATTTGTAACATAATTTCATAAACCAAAAATCATACTAGATTGGTAAAAATACTAGTTCATATTGAAAAAAAAAAAAAAAAAAAAAAAAAAAAAAAAAACTGTAATTAAAATGTGTAGAAAACTAATTTATGGCACTTTGTGTTGACAAAAATGTAAACACAAGTGGTATAACACCTAAATTTATTATCCTTCGTTTCAAATTTCAGTTTGATACTCACACAATACTGCAATATAAAGTTTAAAAACATTAATAAATGCTTGTTTTGACATTTATGTATTTTGATAGTTTAAAAGTATATAACTCATAAATATTGTAGGAATAAATGTAATCAAGAAGTTACCCTCTTTTACGAGGCTCATGAGATTTTTTTATTTGTCATTCAATTAAAATAATTTTGAGATTTATAGATATAATTATAAAATTAAATTAAAATTTTAAATTATATGATGAAAACAATTCATAATTCAATCCGTTAAGAATTTGACAACTATTGCAACATTAAATATTGCCCTAAAAAAAATAAAAAAAGCTTTCTAATTAGCTGATCCCAACCATTTAGTCGGATTTGAATTCACACTCGATGCACTATAAACTATTCATTATTTCATATGTCTAGAAATTAAAAGTCCACCCTCTCATCTAACTACACTAGAGCGCAGGCATGATTGTTGTCTAATCTTATATACATATATGTATATATATATATATATATATAAATTTGTATCTATATATAGTAATAAATACTAATAGCAGTAACAGCTTATCCATTCTCTTACCTAGGGATTGGTTCGGGGAACTCGGGCCTACTCTCTTCTAGATGAGCGCCACGAGTTGAAAAGCCCGACATTTCACCGTGTACTCCATCGTAATCCAATGTGGCAAGATGAGAGTAAAAAAAAGGTGAAAACAAGCTAGTTAATCCTGGCCGCTGATTTCGATCAAGTTGAGCTGTAACCGTCGTGCTTACAAGTGAGGGGTTGAATAAAATAATTAAACAAATAGCAGGGTCAAAAATAAAATAACAAATAAAATAAGGGGTAAAAATCAGAGATTATTATTTTATGTTACAGAAATTAAAATTTAAAGCGCGAGTCCCTAGGGAAATTAAAGCAGAGGAATCGCGCTGTAAACTTGGACGCTAATGCACGAGAGGCAGCGACAAACCTGCTAGATCGGTTCGCAAGGAGTTGAATTTCATGACTTAATTAATCTTTTAATTACCCATTGTCCCAGTCACCCCGTTGACAATTCATAGCACGTTTACCCTTTTACCCCCGAATTGCCCAAAACGAATTTACAGAAATGCCCATGTCAGTGACAGGTTTTATAAGCAACCTATGAAATGATTCCCTGTGGCAGGTTACAGTGATTATTATTGTACAATTGAGTGATCATGATCATGACGATCAACTTGCTGAGACGTGATGTTAGTTTTGCACGTTGGATGTGTTTATTTCTTTTGGTTTGTGGGCCCAAGTGGGACATGGTTGCATCATGTGAGGGTTTTCTGTTCTTGGACCAACATACCATGTAATGGCTGTGTACTTGCTTACACAACTGATTTGATCGGTTCACAAGGGGGTTAGAACTGAATTGAACACTAATTACTTTCTAAATCTTTCTAATTTCGATAATCTAGATACCAATTATTAACTAAACTCTTGCTTAATTTTAGGTCAACTTTTATTCCAATTTTGTCCTTCTATCTTCAATCTCTTAGACCAAAGTCCCCTATATTTTTTCTAAAAAAGAGAAAGAGGGGAAGGAAAAAAAAAAAAAAAACCTCTGCATCCATAATCTAATATAATTATATTTATTGTGTAAACAATGTTAAATGGTTAGCATACTCAATTATTATTCTTACTCTTATCTCAAAAGGGTTAATAATAATAATAATAAAATAGATTACATTGTTTTCAAGGTGGTCCACCACTAGGAAGCTCATCTGATGTGGAGTTTCCTTCTTTGTCTCATTTTAAGGACAATAACGGTAAAGCAAACACTATCTTCCACAACAACAAAAGGACAACAAAGTAACTTCACCTCATAATTTCTTTTCCTTTATTGTTATTACAAGGTTAGAGAATAAATAAACTTTATTTATATAATATTATATAAAAATATTTAAATTTTCACTTTTTTTAAAGCCAAAAATTTTCTCGTCAAAATCCTCCATTTTAGCTGCCCGCCTGTCCCCTTCAAACGCAATAAACCCTCACCTCTCTTTCTATCTCCTCCAAAATAACACTCCCTATACTCTCTCTCTACTTTTCTCTCTCTACATCTACAAACACTCACTGTCTCTCTCTCTCTAAACACTCTCCTTCTCAAGCCTTTATTCTGAAAAAATCAATGGAAACTCCAGAATTCTTCCAAGGAGGTTACTACAACACCCAATTCACGCCCGAAAAGCGCCATTCTGACACCAAGCCCGGCGACCATTTTGTCGTGGAAGACCTCCTCGACTTCCCGAATGATGATGCCGTCGTCGCCACGGAGGCTGCCTTCGACAATGTTACCGGGACCTCCGCGGAGTCCTCCACCGTCACAGTCGTGGACAGCTGCAACTCCTCATTTTCCGGGAACGACCCTCACTTTTCCGGTGAAATGGGTTGCCGGAGTCTCGCTGATGCTCAATTCTCTAGTGACATTTGCGTGCCGGTAATTCCAAACATCCATTAATATATATATATATATACACACACACACACACACACACATATATCTTGATTCAACAAATTTTTTTTCTAAATATTTAGGGTCGATCATATTTAATAATTTTAGCCCATCACAAAGGCATAACATTTTATATATATATATAACATAATTCAGTAAGCGGTTACATTGAAACATTTGAATTATTTTTTAATTTTAAAAAAATTCACATTAAATTATGTTGGAGGTATTATTTTGTAATGGCTTTAATTAGCTTTCTTTTAGAAAGAAATGCTGAGTCTTTTACTGTTTGGTAGCTGAGAAATTAAGGAAGATTATAAGAAAAATAAGTTTGAGCTGTAGGGACATGTTTTATTGGTTCTCAAATTGGATAAAATGAAAATTTTAACCCATTAAGAAAATATAGTTAGATTTGTTCTCTCTCTTTTAACAATTTATGCTGAAGGAATTATGTTTTGATAGCAATTGGTTTCTTTTAGAAAGAGAAACTGGTATTTTTACTGTTTGGTAACTGAGAAAATTAAAAATGACCGAGAATTTAAGCTTTTTCCTATCCGTTTTCAATTTAAATTCAATGAGAAGAAACAGAAAGTGATACTTTTACTGTTTGGTAGCTTCGAAAATTGACCAAAAGTTAAGAAAATATGTTTCGAGCTATACCGAACATTTTGTATTGGTTTTCAAATTAAAGAACATTAGAATTTACCCATTAAAGGAAAAAAGCAGAGTCTTCTAAATTTTTTTTTTAAGATTCGAAGAAAATAAAATTCTACAGAAAAAATGACAACCGTAAAGAAAAAAATGTTCCCTTTATCTTTTCACTTTTTTCAGCAACGTCCAAACAATAATTTAAAAATCAAGTATTACATTAGTATGTTTCTACATATATATATATATATATATATATACACGTAATTAATTATATATATTTTATTTTTTATTTTCTCTCAGTATGATGACCTAGCTGAGCTCGAGTGGCTATCAAATTTTGTTGAAGAATCATTCTCGAGTGAAGACTTGCAGAAGCTTCAGTTAATATCTGGAATGAAGGCTCGGACGGAAAAAGCTTCGGAGGCTCGAGAATTCCCACAGGATACCACCCAAAACAACCCAATTTTCCACCCGGAGGTGGCGGTGCCCGGGAAAGCACGTAGCAAGCGCTCACGCGCCGCCCCATGCAACTGGACGTCCCGCCTCCTCGTCCTATCTCCGACGACAACACCGTCCACGTCAGAGTCCGACATTGGGTCTGAACCCGGCAAGAAGACAGTGAAAGCAACCCCCAAAAAGAAAGAAATGGGTGACATTCCGGGCTCCACCAGCGGCGGCGATGGCCGGAAGTGCCTGCATTGCGCCACCGACAAGACGCCGCAGTGGCGCACTGGACCCATGGGTCCAAAAACGCTATGTAATGCTTGCGGGGTCCGGTATAAGTCGGGGCGGCTCGTGCCCGAGTACCGGCCCGCTTCGAGCCCAACTTTTGTCCTCACAAAGCACTCAAACTCGCACCGTAAAGTGCTTGAACTTCGGAGGCAAAAGGAGATGCAAAGGGCCCAACAACAACAGCAACAATTTCTTCATCATAACATGATGTTTGATGTATCCAACGGCGATGATTACTTGATCCACCAGCATATTGGGCCCGATTTTCGGCAGCTGATCTAGTACTTGCCGGAGTAGGGTTACTCCGGTGGAGGTTCAAGGTTTAGCGGCAAAATTGTTAGAGAATTTCGTAATTTTTCTAATTTCCTAGGGCTAAAATGTTGCCTAACTTCCGAATTTTGTAGTTATTGTTGATTTTTAAAATTATTGTTGTTGTTAGAAAAAGAGAAAAAAAAAAATGGAGGATTGACGATTAGAGGGTGTAAACTCTTTTAATTAATGTCCTTTGAGTGTCGGATTTTGGCGGATTCTTGAACCTAATTTTCGAATTTCGGTCATTTTCTCCTTTTTGATTTTCCATGACTACTTGGCAACCAAATTCACTTTTGTGTTTATGTTTTCCTAATTTACGCCAATGTGGCCTCCATTCTATTACATCTAACCCATGAAAAGAAAATTTGAATTAAGTTAGATTAATTAATTACACCATATCCTAATTAATATCGTGTGTCACATGTATGTTAAATTAATGATGTTTCATTAATTATGTACGACTTAAGGAAGGATTTGATGTATCTTATTTAGTTGGTTTAACTCTTTAACAATCCCAAATGTGAGATTTAGAGGAAATTGACTCAAAGTGGTCCAAAAAGCAACTCAATACTTTCAAGTCAATGGTTGCATCAATGTTCAATTGTCAACCAAAATCAAGTTTGACTTGACGATATTAAGTTGATTACTAATTACTAGGCTATATGTAATAACGGACACCATATTTATATATTTATAAAGATTAATTACATGTGGAGCTCTTAAGAGTAAATTCTCGAAATGAAAATGTCAATCATCAAAGTTGTAACGTGAGAATTCTTGTCAATTTATTCAAAAATTTAAGTTATTGAGTAATGTTGCATATCTATTTATTTATACACATTCTACTTCTTATCGGAGTGTGAAACAAATACCCCTGCTAGGAGAAGACCAAGTGAGTGCAACTAGACTTAAAAAGTGTATAACTATAATATAAAGTATGTATTCATTTTTAATACAAATAACGGATCTGACTGTCGAACTTTAAATCAAATTAAGATGTTACTCGTGTTAAAGCCACTGTAGCACTCAGAAGAAAAGAGTAATAAGATTAGTAGTTCATATTTTATTGTTATCTCAATTAACTATTGAAAAAATAAAGAGGCTGGCCGTGTTTGGAATCAATCTATAATTTTAAATGTGATGAACATTTGAATTGTTGATCAAGGAGTTCCACTTTTAAAAGTCAGAATCTAGGTTTCTTTTTCAAATATATATGAATGAGATGAATAGATGGCCTTTAATAAACTTTCAAGTTACAAATTATTATAATTAAAAAAAAAAGTAAATGTAGATAGAAATAGAAGGAAAGATAAAGAAAATCGGTAACAAAAGGAAAGATTTGGTAGGAGAAAGAAATAAAAGAACAATATGTCTCCACAATCCACACTCTTAAGCTAGCATATATATATGTGTGTGTGTGTGTGTGTGTGTGCTGTTTTATTTTATATATATATATATATATATATATATATATATATATATTGTTAAAGATATATATATTAATGCTAGAACGTGCATGAGTGACTAAACATGAATTTCAGTGAAGAACGGTTGATGAATCTATGGTGAATTTTAACCAAAATTTACAGAGAATGTTAGAGCTAGGAAGCAGTTACATTTACCCATACATATACTGTGTATATATATATGTGTGTGTAATTTTTAGTACATCGTTTTCTGCCACTGATCATCAAATCCGTTATATGTGTGTTTGTTAAGTAATGAATCTCTTTGCACAGAATTCAAGTCCCCCACCCACTCTTGGACCTCGAGACAGAGAGAAAATAAAAACAAAGAAAGAAAGAGAGAAAATATCAAGCCACAAGGGAATAATTAGATATGCATGTGTCCACTTTCATGCACATCGATCACATGACAATCACAGTCCAATCTATATTTATTTTCTTTCTTTTATCTTAATTTTTTTCAATATTCTTGACCGCCATGACCTTTTAGTTTCCTCTGTGATGAAAGTATATATAATAATACATATTCATCAATCCTTGTACGTAGATCTTAATCAGTTTATATATATATATATATATATATAGTGAGATATATGGAGTTGTTTATATAGATGAAGATGCTATTGTATGTGCGATCCTAGGCATCGCTGATCCATAGGTCTGTTCTCTAATAGTTTACTAATTACACCAATATATAATTTTTTTTTTTTTTTTTTTTTTTTTTTTTTTTTTTTTTTATCTTGTTTCATATATATATATAGTTTATTATTATGTTAATTAAATTAAAATTCTGCAAAAACCACTCTGTTTACTGCAATTATGCTTTCTTTCTTTTTTCTTTGTTTTTTTAATAAAACCACTTCGTCTCTTTTCTGTACGTGTCTCAAATACAAAACAATACGAAGAAACATAAAGAGAGAGTGATAATGAAAACAACAAAACCATTGGTGGAAATATTTTATATTTACACAATATATATATATATATATATATATATAAAGTAGTTGAATTGGGCAGCGAACTTAGCGGTGGTCACATGGACGAGTGAGGGTACATTGTATATATAGGACGGCAACACATGCATGCTCACCACCAACACACTTGACCCTCACCACTCACCACCTAATTTTTGCACTATATTTAGGTAAAAACACCACAAAGGGCTTGATCGAGTTCCGGTTAAAGAATTTTTTTGCGAATCTTTTAGGGGTTCAGTAGGGGACTTTTATAATTATTAAATATTTTATATAAATATTAAGAATAATTGAGATTTTCAGTGTGGTCAATTGTCCTCACTAGACCCAATGTTGCTCGCGACTAATCTAATTTCAATAAAAAAAAATTGATGGTTAATTTTTCATTGAAACAAATGAGCGGGCATGTGTAGTTTACTTACAAAAACAGAAAAATATCAAGGAGAAATTATTTTATTCATGGCATACTCATCTCCTCCGCATTTTCAAAATTTATTAGCTTTGTGTACATGGAAACATATATTAAAATAAATAGATCAAATAAATTCTTTGGTGCCATTTATCTATTCAATTTGTAATATATAGAAGATTCTTGGGAGAATTTTGTGTGATTTTACCCCCTTTTTAAAAAAAAAATAAAAATAAAAATTCTGCTTGTTAGGTATGAAAACAGAATGGTATCTTTCAATAAAATGAAGATTAAGAAATAGCTAGAAATAATAAACAAATCCATGCACCTAATATAATCATATATAATATAATCCTATTTGCTAACCCCCACATACATAATATAATCATATATAGCATTTGAATAAATTGGCTTCTGCTAAAATAAATAAATAAATGGGCTTCCATGCATGGTGGGATAGTTCCACGTTAATTGAGAAGGGTTTGTCTCCTTTTCACAACCAACTATGCCGACACTGACTTGGCCAAACCTTTTTCACACCCAGCTTTGCAGAATTGCCCTATCAATCAATAAGTTAAAAAACACAAAAACTGTTGTGTGTGTGTGTGTGATCTTTCACTCGAGCAAGGGTGTGATTCAGAAAAATTATTTGAATCAAACTTTAGACTTGATATTTTACGAGACACCAAAATTCTAACAAAAAGTATTGCAAGAAGCCCGAGTCACCCCATATATAATAAATTCAAGAATGTCATATATAATACATAAATTCAAGAAGTGAAATGATCGGTGCACTTCCTTCTGGTCCCAAAATAATAAACTTACTACAGAAGCAAAATGAAACCCGTCCTATTCATTTAACAAACTTTTTTGGCACACAAAATATCATCCTTGTTTCTTACCATAATAGCGTAAACCCTGTAAATGTACATACGTAGAGGACTGGTGCCAAAACGTGAGAGAGAAAGTAACACACACACATATCTCTAGAGGGAGAGAGAGCCCCACACGCAAATGTATTAATTCGTGGGGACATGGATGCAGCAGTCGAGGGCCCTTTCAAAGGGATGGGAAACATTGAAACACCATCTCAACCTCCACGCTTGCTCACGTGCCCTTCACGTTACCCACTATTCACACACACACACATACACACACTATCCAATAGTATTTGGCTCATCTTCACCACCTATATATTTTACCACTCTGGTAAAGAAAAAAAAGAAGAGCAAATGAATGTCCATCCCTTTCTTTAACCATATTTTGAAGGGCTCCAATAATTATTCTTAGTAACTACTAAATAACAACAGATAATATATGGTAAAATAAAAATATAATCATGAATTCTGATAATTTTGGTTTTCCATGGGCAAATTACACTTCCAAAGTTAGATATCATCAGATCACCGAAAATCATGAATTCTGATAATTTTGGTTTTCCATGGGCAAGAACAATGAAAATTAACTATTATCCATCTGAAAAACTTTAATACATACCAAAAAAATTTCACCTGCATTAACATGAGGCACCATGTTATTACTATAAGCGGAAGAAAATGAAATCCGATGGGGAAAAGAATTCAAGAGGCAAGAGAAACTCAATTGCATCTCTGCTACCATCATACAAAATCGTTTAGGAGTATCGGAGCAACTTCATGAGACAAATATGGAATTGGCACCAAACTCATTTATCATCAATCAAATTGTTTGTTTTGGAATCACTCTTATCGCGGCACGCTGAGACCTAGCTCTGAACAACATAAGTGAAAAGAAATACAATACGTTAATATCATGGCAAGATAAACAAATGCAAATTATATTAAATAGCTGGATGAAAATCTATTGAATTAAACAATCAAACAAGAAATAACAACTATAGAAGTAGGTTAACTTAAAATGTAGCAACACTGAATAATTCGGCTGTGATGGATGTTCGCAATATATTTAAGGCCTCGTTGAACAAGAGTCATTGAGCAATATATGAGGTAGAAAAAAAATCTATAGCTGACACATATTGAAAGCTACAATCGATTCGCGTTAAAAAATTAACTCTGCCTGAAATAAGAATGATCATAAATACAACTAACTAAACACATTAATTAAAACTCTACCTGAGCTAAAATGAACATAATACAACTAACTTTGATGGTCATCCTGATCTCACTGGATCTCCAAAAGGGCTACAGTAGCATCATAAGATTGGAAAGCTGTCGAATTGTTTAAATTTTAAATTGGCTCCTAGTTTATATAATTTCTTTTTTCAGTAGGCATTTTAATTCTCAAGTGGCTGCATAAAGATAAAGAAGAAATCTCTATCAGGAATAAATTGATCCAGTAAAAAACGACAACTACTGTAGTAATAACTGTTTTAACAATTCTAAACCAAGCAGCAATTGGAAAGCCAAAAGGATATTGCTGAACTCCATATCTCTTTATTTCTAAAGTTGGTATATTATTACATGTCAAACATAGAGAAGCTAACATCCAAAGAGAGAGAGTTGGGCACAATTGAAACCCGGAAGATAACTGGTCAATCTCTATTATAGAATGCAACATCAGAACCACCGAATTTTCGGTACAAGAACCACTACCCTTGTACCTCACTTATATGAACTTGTCAAATGGGCCAGCCATACAAAGTCAGATAAACTTCTCCATAGCATAACATGCACGTTTCTCATACCATTAATGCACTAGTATTGGATCCAACATATAATTGTACCATAGCATAACATGCATGTTTTTCATACCAATTAATGCACTAGTATCTGATCCACCCTATAATTGTACTATAAGCTGATTAGTAATTTTTGATCTTTTATAAATTTTTTATTTTTATTTTTTCCCCGTAAGAAAATTGATCATGAAATTGAATATACTAGCAATATTGCCTAGAGGCTTCACATCGTCACTCATCTACATGGACAATTAAATATCAACATATGTGCTTGGGATTATGAGTAGATTTCCTAGAGTACCACAATACTACTTAGCAGCATTTTCTTTACATGAATGAATTTGATTCAGTGTATGGTTTTGCAATTGATCATCGAATGGAAAATATAATAAATTGAATAGCTGACAGGAACAAGAATTAATCGTAGGGAAAGAAGGCCAGCAAAGATAGGCCAAGGCCTATACTCTAATGGTGTTCCTAACCATATGGGGAACCATGCATGCATATGATCATGCAGAGTCTGGTTAAATGACTACCACCATTTAGCTAGCTTACATAACAATGCATGCAGATATTCAAAAAAATCAATATGCATCAAAATTTAAGATTAAAAAAATTAACAGTTACATTGAAGGCTACAGAGTCATTCTCGTTGATACAGGCTGCTTACAGGGGATTGGCTACAAATCAAACAACTAAATTCATTCACAGAGTAGTTGGCCATAGATAGAATTGAATTTTTATTCTTCAACCGGTTTATTATTATTATTATTATTATTCCACAATACCAAACAATAGCCCCCAAGTAACATTTATAGAGAATAAATGGAAAATATAAATAGTATTGCCTTAATTCTAATTATCATATGTAACGACCTAACTTTTCAAAAACAAATGAATGCAGTACAATTTACATATTAAATATGCATGTCATTTTCCTTATCTATGTGCTTTATTGCTTTACATACCATCTCTCCGTGCTTTTGTACCAAACCTATGAAGATCCTCATACGCATTAATATTTTACCACTTGTTACTTTCTTAATTTTCCATTTCCATATCATTAAATTTCTCATTCGTAGTTTTAGTAAGTTTTCATCAAACATATTTAAGTATGGGTAGGCTCTTTCAATCTCATATGCTGTAACATAACTGTTTCTCACATCCTCTCACCACATCTATATCACCATGTACTATATCTCTTACCTTCAACTCAACTCAACCCGATAAGCCTGATCACAACTCAACTACGTTTAATTGACAAAGTAATAGAAATAAATGAGTGCATGTGACTTTTTGCTAATTAGTACACAGAAGCTTATTTGCTCCACCAAAGGCTCACTAAGAAGCAAAACAGCAAAGCTATGAGTAAATGACATCATGCGACTTTGATATACTCTCCCAGCTCCTGTACAATGATAAGCATTACCTTATTACTTTAAGTAATCTTTCTCAAACTTAATCATCTATTGAAAGTTATATAGATACGTATAAAAGATACCCTTACGATAGTATTAAACAAATTCAAGCAAAGATAGAACAACGAAAGCTTGAGCTACCATTCATCAAAGATGATAATCACCAAAAACAACAGCTATTAACTTTTCCTTATATCAATTCATTTGTAGAATGTACCAAAAGAGTAACAGAGAGTATCCCATAAATTATTTCTTTTTTGCCTTGACATCCGAATTACAAGGTCCTCTCCAAATATTCTTTGCCTTCAGAGCACATGACAAGAAGAAAATACATTTCTGATACCAAGTTTTCGATGTGGAAAGCTAAAGGGGATAAGATTAATGATCAGAAAAATTAAGGTGGACATAAGAAAGAGCTATAATGCAATATTCCTAAACAACCACTATATCACTCAAGACTTTACAACCATCGTGTCTGTAAATAACAAAAAAAGAAGATGCATGATGTAGTAACTAGTAACCAAGTCCGGAGATGAACTATGTGAGTATCACAACATTTGCTGAGCTTGGTTTACTAGCAAGGCTTGTTCATCAGAATAAATAAGCATGGTAATCAGTCACAAGAGAAAAGGACAAAAAAAAAAAAAAAAAAAAAAAAAAAAAAAAATTGGATGAGCTGATGAGGGCTATAAGAGTAAATGTTGAGCTCAGGTATGAAGTTGAAGTGCAAGTCCGGGTTGGAAACTTTCTTCTGCAGGAAATGGATGAGCTCCTCATTGTATGGCCAAAACCTAAACCCAGGTAGAATAAAAACAGAGCAGCCATTATTATTCATTTCTTGGAAATGAGAAAGAACAGAGAAGCTTTGCAAACAATGAGAAAGAACCTCATAAACTTATGAGAAATGAGTGAGAGAAGCTCAGAGATGTAGGACCGTATTAAACGCCTCACAAGCACAACCCTTGGATTAAGTGACTCACATGCACAATCCTTGTATATATACAACAATACTAGACACATCAATGAGAGAAAAACAATAAACAGACGTGCAGCAAAAAATGAGATTTTAGTGACCATTTAAAAATTTTGTGAGACTCAGTTGGAGGATTTAAGGAGGAAAGACATTAGTGTAATACCCCTAATTTTAAAAGGATAGTCCTGATATTTTAATTAAGTATTTTGTTGCATTTTTTAATTATTTAATTATTTTTGTTACTTGGTTATTTGAATTATTTGGATTATTTGATTTAATTGAATTATTTGATTAATTGGTAAATCGTTTGTATTTATTATGTCCTTAATTGGTTTTTTAATAATTGTTTAATTATGCAAATAAGTTAAATGAGTATTTAAATACGTTAATTACTTAGGGTTTTCTTTTAGAAGTCACGTATGTGTAGCTAACATAGATTATAACTCAGGCTTTGTTCTATGGGCCGACTAGGATTTAATTAGGGTTTTGTCTCTAATTATACATGAACTAGGGTTTTGTTTTAACCTTTATATATAGAACAGTACATCTGCTAGGGTTAGACAAACCCTATTCACGGATCATAGAATTAGAGAGAAACAGAGAGTGGCTTGAGAAGAAAACAGAGAGGACCAAGGGGTTGATTGTGGATTAAAGCTGGAACAGTAGGAGGCTTGACGGTATTCAGTAGTTGCCGGAAACTTAGAGACGACGCCGAGATTTCATAACTGAAATCACAGGCAAGTTTTTTTCTTCCTCTCTCCCATTGGCCTGTATTCTGTGCACTTAGATAGTCTCTAGGAGATTAATTGGACATTAATTGAATCTTGCACGATTATTATATGTTAAATTGATTATCTATTGTCTGTTGAATTTATCTGAATTAATTATTGCATGTATGGAGTTCATCGTCTGTTTTTAGCATAACAAGTCGCTACTGTTTTAATCATTGTTATTGAGTCTTACTGTTATAAACCAAGGTCTGGAATAATACTAGATGAGATTTAAGACCCTTAGGTTCAGTTTAAATGAAGAACAGTAAGGTTGGAAGCGGCCGAAAACGAAGCAGACGGTCGGAAACGGAGAAGGATTGGACCAGAGGCTCTCAAAGGGGGAGAGAGCCGGCTCCATGGAAGTGGGAGCCGGCTCCCACACCCTTCGAGCCGGCTCCAAGAGGCATGAAGCCGGCTCCATGCATTAGGGAGCTTGCTCCCAAGTTCATGGAGCAGGTTCTCTCAGTTTTGTACATTCTGGAATTTTTTCGACGCACTGTTTGATACTGTTTGAGCGTTTGAACTGTTCTGATTGGTTTTGGGACTTCACAGAGGGATTAAGTATTTAATTTTGGGTGTTATTGAGACCTATAATTGAATAAGTTTTACCTCTAAGTTATTGGGAGAAACAGTATAAAATTAAACCATTTTTATGCTGTTAACAGATGGAAGAAAATTGATTGCTTAGTTTAATTTTAACAATTTAATGGGATATAGTATGATTGTAAATCTTATTTTGAATGCATGATAGGGTAATTTATTTATTAAATTTGATTTATGTATTCTCTGGATGTTAATTGTTGAAATATTAAATTCTTTTCTGCAATTACATGGATTAACGCTTGGATTTTAATTGCTGAAATATTAAACACTATTATGTAATTATCTGGATCATGGTTTTGAACTGTAAATTGCTGAACTATTATTTATGTTGTATAATTTACATGGATGTGGAGGACTGTATGCACCGGTATGGGACGGTGGCATATTAGGGATGGTTTAGCTCAAAACGCTAAGACCTAACCTAATAAAGGAATGGATTGTAAAATATTGAATCCTAATTATGTTTAAGTCAGATCAACTGACTAAGTTGAATGACTTCCTGAATTAGTTGTTTGTAATTAGGTCATATCAACTGAATAAGTTGAGTGACCATCTAGATTATAAAGCGTATGTCAGATCAATGAATAATTAAATGATATACTCTGGTTTTGGACGAACTTTAGATATATGGTTATGGTACCACGAGATGAGCTTAAGTCTCAGGCTCGTTGGTTAGAGGGCGTATATGCAGTGGATGCGTAGCTAACTATGATAGGTTGAGGTGTACCCTATTAGGTCTAGGTATTCATGCCCACCTTTGGGTACGTTTTCGCATGTTGCCTTCTATTTAGGTTGAAACCACTTCGTAGTCCAGTGAATGTCCCTTAGTGTGGCTATATATGTATTTATGGACTAGATAGATATTGTGAGATATCTAGGGTGTATCTGCGTATCGGATCACTGTATGGATTGTAGTTAGATTAGAACTTGTTCGTGGGCCTGACCCACTCTTATATTTTTCAGGTATTGGACGGTTCCAGTCTTAGGCTTGATCGTGCTGAGCAGAGACTATCATTCACTCTACCGACGACGTAGGGTTTCATTCCATATTTCAAATTTGGTTTTATTTCCAGTTATTTTATGTTCAGTTGTGATTTGATTTAGGGGTCCACTAGATGGATTCTCGAGTTGTACTCTTGGAGGTTTTGGAAAGTTGAATTTTATAAATTTTTAACTTTAGAGGATTTTATATTTAGTATTTCTTTCAGCTTTATTCTATTTCTTATTTCATTTTTTTTTTTTATTCTGTATTCGTTTTAAAATATTAATTGTTTGATATTCCCTCGGGTTTGGGCTTGGGCCTGATCAACCCGTGTCTCGGATTCGAGGGGTATCACAATTAGTCTTTTGTGAATTTTCTCATTCCTAATTTTTTACAGCTCTTGTGATGGTACCCCTTCAGCTCTGAACAATTTGAACTTTTATTAACCAACCATTTCTTTAAAAAATGGCCCTTTCTCTCTTCATCTTAAAGAGCATCTAATGCAACTCTTATAATGCATTTTTTCATCTAACTTAACATAGCACTAATTACCTCTTCTGATTACTCCTTTAAAAGATTACTACCTGGTTCTAAAATTGCTTGTCTCTTTTTCCTTTCCATTTCATCTCATTATATAAGCATTTTGATACCAGTAAACTATAACTTGTAATAGCCATAACCTTAACATTGTTACATGTTGATCATTCTACTCTTCTAAATTAAAAGAGTTTATCCAGCTCGTAGTTTTAATAAGTTTTCATCATACATTTTAAAGTATGTACGGGCTCTTACAATCTCATATGTTGTAACATCTCTATAACTGTCTCTAACGTTCTCTCCCCACATCAGTATTACCATGTACTATATCTCGTATACTCAACTCAACAGGACAAAGTCTGATCACAACTCAGCAAAGTTTAATTAACAAACATAGATATAAATGAGTGCACATGGTGTTTTGTTAATTAGCACATAGAAGCTCATTTGCTACACCAGAGTCTCACTAAGCAGAAAAACAGCAAAGTTATGAGTATATGATATCATGCGACTTTGATAAACTCTCCCAGCTCCTGTAGGATGACAAGCATTACATTGTTACTTCAAATAATCTTTCTAAAACTTATTAATGTATTGAAATATATATATATATATATATATATATATATATATATATATATTAAGATATACTTGAGATAGTAATCAACAAATTCAAGCAAAGATAGAACAATGGAATTAGTTCAAGTTTGAGCTACTATTCATCAAGGATGTTAATCATCACAAACAACAGCTATTAACTTTTCCTTGTATCAATTTAGTAGAATGTGTTTTTTTCCCCCCATAATAAGGAAAGATAAAGGGATAGGATTAAAGATCAGAAAAGGCTGAGGTGGATTTAAAGAACAGTTACTATGTAATATGCCTAAACAACCACTATATCACTCAAGACTATACAACCATCATATCTGTAAATAACAATGATCGAAGATGCATCATGTAGTAACTAGTAACCAAATCTGGGGATGAACTATGAGAGTAGCATGACATTTGTTGAGCTTGGTTACCACTAGATCAAAGCTAAGGATTGAAGAAATTTCATTATATTTGAAACCTTAATAGTTCGAGCTTGAGGAAGGCGAAGCGCAATTTAGAAACTACTGCATACCACTGCTTACAACCAGAAATAGGATTAAGGAGCGATGAATATGATAGTGGTAGTCAGCATTTTTACTGTTTACATATGACTTATGAGACATCACTGCAGCATGAATGAAATGAACATGCATAAAGTATACGATTAGCTGCCTGTTCAGTCAAAGCCAGAAATGCGGATGGTTAAAAGTGGAATTAAGATGAGAAAGAATGTGAAAACGATATGTGAAATTGCAATATAATGCATATCCAGTTGTGGGTGCATAGCTGCATACCTATACAAAAGTATAAGAACAACATCGTCTAATCCATTAAACATGCATGGTTAGTCAGAATATCTCTAGTCTAGGCACTAGCATGACAACGTTGTTAGCTGAAGCAAATGTTGAACCACAACTATAAGAATACATCTTATTATTTATGCATGCATGTAAATAAATATATAGTCCAAAAGGGCTACATAATTAGTTGTAGCTTCGTTCTACAACAACCAACCCGCCCCCCCCCCCCCCCCCCCAACCCAAAAAAAAAAAAAAACGGGGAAGAAAGAAATCCAACCCCATGCAACCTAGTGAGACTTGAACATGCATCCTTCCCTAATGAAGGTGCAGGAGACACTCAGAGGTAGATAGCTGGTGGTGGTGAAAAGTTTCTTAATACACTTTGCACTAATAGTATTCAAGACAGTCATAGGCATGGAAATAAAAACATAGAAGAAGGATGCATATTTTTCCCTGGAAATTCAAATGGACACTGATTTAAGCAGTTTCCATGAAAAGGCCATCCAAACTATATATTTATGAAACACGTGGCATTGCGCAAAATTTTGTGGATTTCACACCATCAAGGAAACAGAGTGATGTGAAATTGCATGAAGCTTCAACATCCAAAAAGCTTCAATTCTCACAACAAATCATCTTGCTTCTCCTCCTTCGACTAAATTATTGACTGCACTTCATTGTGTTTATAGTTAAAAAGCTCATGTTAAACTTAAACTCAAAAGAATAAACACAAACAATCCCACATCCCCAAAGCTATAACACGTTAAACTAACAATGATTATGAGAACCTGTTAAAACAAGTACTCGTTAATAAAAGCGAATTCATAAAAAATCACATAGAAAAACTGGAGATCAAAAAACAAGGTCATCTAATTACCAGAGGTAATGGTATAAAAGGAAAGATTAACTAATCAAGAGCCCCCAAAATAAATAATAAAAAAAAATAGTTGCTTACAGAAACATTATAAAATATCAAACTCCTGGGTTGGCACTGCAAAGCATACCCTGAGACAACGACCTCGACCCTTTCGAGTCTATGCCGAGGCAGGAGGTGAGTCGGGCCGAAGAAACAGCTGAGTAGAGTGGAAGCAGAGATTGAAGAGAACCCAATTGAGACAGTGACCTGAAATTCAAAATTAAATGTCAAAAATCAAAATTTGATTGAAGAAATGAACTGGGTTTGAGAAGGATTTGAAGTTCGAAGGGCTTGCCTTTGAAATGTTGGAGAAGAGAGAGGGGTCCGGAGTGAAGGTATGGGTCCGGGTCTGGGTGTCGGTTTGTTCATGGTGGATTTGAGAAGGTTGAGAGCTGGTCTTGAGACTGAGCGACAACGAGAGGCCATTGGAGACGATGAAATGAGAGATGGTTGAGATTAGGGTTAGGGTTTTGCAGGAATAGTAGTTACACAGCGTAAAAATTGTCTAGAGCTCTTAGTTGGATTCTAATTTTCTACACTGAAAATCTCAGAAAAAGCTGACGAATGACACTTTCTCTCTCACTCTCACCCAAAATAGTAATAATAATAATAATTGGAAAGGGAAATTGAGAAATAAATAATTGACAATTTTTTATTTCATTTTGATTGTTCAATTTTTAAGGATAACCTTTATAATTTTTGAAAACTACTTTTCTTATTTTTGAATCTCAATTTTATTTATTTATTTTAAATTCATTACTATTTACAAGAAATAATGAACTTTATTGATGTTTGATTTTATTATGATTGTTTTCGTTCATGTCATTGTCTATAGCTTAATTTGAATTGAATAGATTCTGTTATATGAATTCTATGTTATGTTTAATTTTGTAAAATTATTTTTAATAATCTTATTCCGTGTTAGTTTTAGACTTTTCTTTTTTAAAGATTGTATGTATATTTACTTTTTTTAAGTTTCAATAATTAATTTGTAGTCTTTTTGAAATCTCATATCCAAAGTTTAATTCGTGCTCAAAAATTTTAAATTTAGATGAAATTTGAATCGAAAACTGGGTTTAATTCATGTTGACCACGATGAAAGAATGATTTTGTTCAAAACTTACAAAATACTCATAAATTCAAATAATAATTCTACCATAAAACCAAAGAAATTAAGTCATGAATTTCGCCTTACTACGTTAATAGTTGTCAACTTGTGTTGTACAAATCCTAAGGCACAAATTGACAATTTCAAAATGGATTTGAGTTAGCCACTACCTTATTCTAAGCCCAACCTAGATTTAATACCATACCAAATTCAACTCTAACCCAATTTAAATTTAAATGGAGAACAATTCAAACTCGTAAAACATATAATTTAATTTGAGTTGACTGATCTAAGTATATTTTTTTAAAATCTTATTACAAATAACTCAAATGGTATATTTTTTAAACTCTTGGCTTTTAGATTTTAAGAGAAAAAATTCTACTAAATCATACGCTTTTTCGAAAGAAAAAAAATTGACCCAGCGATGAGAGGAAAGGGGAGGATGGAGAGAGTTGAACCTGGACTCTCACATAATTTAGAGGAGTGCCTCTATTAACTAGGCCACCCGTAGATGCCTCGATAACCCAGTGAATTAGTGCCTCCGATGAATGGATTGTTGAAATATATATATATATATTAGGCTACCCAACTCCCCCTTTTTTGAAAACTTGAACTCTTTATTTTTCATTTTTAAAAAGTTAAAATTATACTAATCCATATGCCTTATGAAACACTCAAGCTAAACTAAAATTTGGTTGGACTGCTGCGAGCCGAAGTGTTAAATTCTCCGTAGAAGATCAATGGAATATTAGTCCAATGATACAATCTCTCTACTCGCAAAGAAAACAAGAGGGATTTGAACCCGCGTCAGTAAATGATAATGTATGCGAGTATTTACCTGATAAAAAATAAAAATGAAAACCCAACAAAAAACAAAAGAGAACTGCAGCAAGATTAGTCATTGATATAAAAGTGACAGGATAATTGGTATTGAAATGGTTTGAGATAATAGATATAGCAGCGTAGATCAATTTCTTTTTTCGAAGTTAAATCAGTTTCTTCTATTCTGCTTGCTTGTTAAAAACAATTGACGTGCCTTAACGGACAACCAGTACAGGTCACCAAGTCAAGTTCTCAATTGCCTCACCCTAAACCATTAACCAAACCCTCCAGCTATCCCTCACGTGTCCCCCGGAATTGTACAAGGAATCTCAACCATATTCCCTCCTACAAAACACACAAACAGGATATATTTTTCTTGAATTACATTTCGACACCCAAACTAACTGTCATAACTACCTTCCAAATGGAGTCTGTTGCCTCCAATTCAGCATCCACATCGAATCACCGCCCTCATTCCCGGTTCAAGGTAACCCAACCGGTTGCAGACAGAATACTCCGAGCCCTTCGCCACCGGCTCCGCCTCCTTCACCGGTCCGAATCAAACTTCTTCGTCCTAGGGGCCACTGGGAACGTGTACACTGTGACATTGTCTGCCACCCCGTCCTGCACTTGCCCTGACCGTACAACACCGTGCAAGCATATACTATTTACTTTTATCCGCGTTTTGGGCGTCTCTCTTGATGATTTGTGTCTCCGGAGGAGGACTCTCCGGCCATGCCAACTCAGCCGCCTACTCAGCACGCCTACATCACCTGAAGCATTGGCAGGGGCCAGTTTGCGTGAAAGGTTTCATCAGCTCTTCTTTCAAGCAACGCGGGGCCATTCCCGACCATCTTTGCACATAGAAGATGGTACCAAGTGTCCAGTTTGTCTTGAAGAAATGGGAAGCGGAGAGAAGGTGCTGGCTTGTGGGACGTGTCGGAATCTTATTCATGAGGAATGCATGTTGACATGGAAGAGGAGTAGGGGAAGGAGGTCAGTTAGCTGTGTGATTTGCCGAGCAAGATGGAGGGATAGGGCAGATCAAGAGAGGTATCTAAACCTATCAGCTTTTGTTAGTGAGGATGAAATGGTCGAGGGTGAAGGTCTCTGTGGTGATTAGGACTTAAAGGATGCCAGGCTAACCTGCAGATCACAGAACATAAGATAATGCAAGTTATGGGGCAATACAATTGTAAATACATGCATAATAAAGTATAAATTTCTGAAAAAGAATGCTTAGGATTCAATTTTTGCCGGAACATTATGGAGTTATTTTCTTTTTCTATTGCTTTCCAGCCCAATTTTATATTTTCTAAGCAGGAAATATCAGGAGTTGCTTGCATCTCCTTATCTCCCTTATCAGGGAATTTCAGGTTAAAGACTAGAGTGAAAGCAAGGCTTTCAAATCCTTTGCCTAAAACCCAGGCCGTGAAGGGTGGAATGTGTGGAGGGTTCCGTGGTGGTGCTGTAAGTTCTTCAAAATTTGGTGAATAATATTAATCTGGTCACTCTAACTTTTGGAGCCGAAAATGAATGTGTTAGACCCCACCAAATGAGTGCAATATGAAATCAAAATCCTACTATGAGAAGATAAGATAAATCTTCATTACTTTTTAAAGAGGCTTCATTCCTGGAAAATAAATAAATAAATAACAAAAAAACAAAGAAAAGTTAGAAGGTAACCCCTGTTCGGTGTGAATGGAAAGAGTATTTTACTTCTCTGACACGGCAGCCTGTAACAGTTACATGCATAACTTTTTGATAAGTAACAATTACATAGGTACCTAGGAAAAAAAACAATTACATACATAATACACATAGACAGTAGTTAATTACTACATAACTAATGTTGTTGCTTTATCTCCAAAAATTAGCTTGTAGTGAAGCTGCATAAATTTAAAAATGCAAGGTTTCATGGGAGATGACTATATGTTTCACTAGAACAAGAAATGTCAGAACTTAGTACAATAAAAACAAGAGCATTTTCAGAATCTTTTACCCTCTCTAAAAAAATAAAAATTGGTTATGAAATGTGATAGTTCTTTCTGGCAGCTTTATCAGAGCTAAATTTTGGTATTAAGAAAAAAGCAACAGTGAAAAATATGAATAAAGTGTCTGCAAATCTTGAAATCTTGGAATGAAGATTTCAAAAGGTCACGATATTCCCAACAAAACAATTCTCTAACCTTGGTATTGGCTGCATATCAAGATAGTGCCTTCAGCACTAGCCTCCATAGATTTAGACTGAACTTGCTCAATTGGAAACTAAGACCCCATGTATTTCCTAAAGTAAAATTGATCTTCTATGCTGATTTTTTGTTTCATATAGAGAATGGTACATGTATCTAGGTGTGTGCACGACTGTGCACATGTAGAGCCAGGGACTTTTACTAATAAAAAGTAGATTTTTGAGGGAACATCAGAATTGAAAATCTGGACAATTGTTTCCTCATAAAGGTTTAGTACATCCCTACAGAACAAGAAATATTACCTCTTATATATTGCAGTCATAATTCTTTCTCCATTGAAGTGGTAGGTGAGAAAATTTTGCATCATCCTGAAGAAGAAAAATAAAGAACATCATCATTCAAATAGCAGCAAAGACATTTAGGACATCTTATTATATCATCATTTGTACGTTGACATACCTTGCCAGTTCCATGCATCCATTGGTTAGTAAGTGCTCAAAAGTCCCAAGTATATTATATAGCAATTCACCAAGAGCATCCACAATGTCAGGAAGTGCCAAGCTCGCAGGAGCTGCGAAAACTTCCTCAAGAGAAGGTCCTCTGTCCTCAACAACAAACGTATTCACTATGTTCCATACCTCAACCAGCTGCACCCTGGTTCCTTCTCGACACCCATCTCCTTCATCAGATCCCTTATTCTTGTGACATCCGTCCACAACTCCTTAGATGCATATAAATTAGATAAACTGGTATACATGGACGAATGGTGAGGCTGTAACTGCAACAAGTGCTGAGCAGCTCGAGAACCAACATCTGAATTCCTATGAACTCCACAAGCTGCAAGAAGAGACCCCCAAATTTCGAATTCTTTAGAAAATGGACAATCAAGAAGAAAGGTTTCTGCCTCTTCAAGATAACCAGCCCGGCCAAGGAGGTCCACCATACACGTGCAGTGTTCTACCGAGGGTGGAATTCCATAGTTGTAAACCATCAATTTATAGTAGTTTCTCCCTTCTTCTACAAGACCTGCATGACTACAAGCAAATAGAACTCCAACAAATGTAACAGACGTAGGCAAAATCCTGGAATCTTTCATTTCCTGAAATAGGAGTAATGCTTCCTTGAATAAACCATTCTGGGCATAACCCATTATCAATGAATTCCAAGAGACAACATTCTTCTCAGGCATCTCCAGAAACACCTTACATGCATCTTCAACCATCCCACATTTTGAGTACATGTCAATTAGTGCACTTCCTATATATATTGTGCACTCAAGACCTGACTTCATCAGATGGGCGTGTAAGGACATCCCATGTTCAATGGTAGTCCAACTGGCAACAGCTTTTAGAGCACTTGACGAAGAGAACTCATCCGTCTTATAAAATGACTTGTGCATTATGCAGAATTGCTCAAGGGCTCTCTCTTGTTCACCATTTTGTGCGTAACCAGAGATAATTCCAGCCCACGATATGGCATTAGGTGTATTTATAGACTCAAAAGCCTTCAATGCACTTTTAGTAAGGCCACACTTGCAATAGAAGGTCACTATAGAGTTCCCAACCAAAACATCCGAGTTCAAACCATACATAATCGAATGAGAATGCACTTGAGCTCCTTCAGCAACAGCACCCATCACAGAGAAAGAGGAGAAAAGGCCTATAAATGTAAAAGAGTCAGGTTTCATGCCAACAGCTTGCAGCTTCATATAAGCTCTGAATGCTTCCTCGTACCAACCTGTCAAACTGTAACCCGTGATGAGTACATTATAAGATACCAAATTTCTCTTCTTCATCTCAAAAAAAGCTCTGCTTGCATTTTCCATGTCCAAAAACTTCGAGTACATATCAACAAGTGAAGTCCCCACATAAATATCCAACACATACCCAAGCTTCAGGGTTTTAGCATGGAAATATCTACCAGTTGCACTGTCTAACAACACAGTTGACGCTTTCAAAACACTAGCATATGTGGTCTCGTTAGGCCAAAAACCTTCATATTGCATTCTATGAAACAGCTCAATAGTTTCTTCTCCATAATCATTTTGAGCATACCCAGTAATCATAGTGTTCCAAGCCACAAGATCGCGAGTTTCCATCTGATCAAAAACACAATGTGCCATATTTAAACAACCACATTTTGAATACATATCAATTGTAGACCCGACAACAAACATATCTGAATCAAAAGCTAATTTTATTGCACAACAGTGCACTGATGTGCCAATTTTAGGACAACCCAAACCAGCACAGGCCTTGAGAACACTAGCAAGAGTAAAACTATTAACAAACAATTTCCAATCAGAACAATCATTTATCATCTGATAAAACAAACCATAAGCTTCTCTATTCAAACCCATTTGCGAGTACCCTGCAATCATCGAATTCCACGAGACAGCGTCTCGTTTAAGCATTTCATCAAACACCCTACGAGCTTTGGTTATGCAGCCACACTTTGAGTACATTGTGATCAACCCACTTGCAAGAAAGAAGTGTTGCATGAACCCATTCTTGACAACCAAACAATGCAAGCTTGTTCCAAAACTAGGCTGCGACGATCGGGCGCAGACGGTAATGGTGGTCGACAATGTTTCCGCATTGGGCTCAACCGCGGCTCTGAGCAATTGTTTGAAGCAAGCCAGAGCCTTGTCATTGAGACCATTACGTGCATTGGCCAAAATCTTTGAAGTCCATGCCACTGCCTTGTTTTCTAGCATTTCAGAGGAGACCTTGTGTTGAGAAACCAAATGGGCGCCACTTTATTATTTGGGAATTAGGGCTACTGAGCAGCAGTAAAACAAATTTTATTCTTATTTTTATTTTTTAGTGCCACAAACGCAGATTAAAAATTCAGTAGCAAAGTGAAAGTGAGGGTTGAGTATTTGGAGGGGGCAATTGAGCGTGTATTTCTTGTTAATAAAATAAAAATAAAAATAAAAATTCAAAGTGTCAATTTTTTTTTTTTTTTAAATTGAGGGTATTTTTATATTTTAAGTGCTCCTAGTGTTTATCTTTTCAAACTGACATTTGTATTCAAGTTATATTATTAAAACCACACCTTTTTTTGTTTTAATTTTTGGACCTGAGTATGCTGGTTTCAGCCTTTTCGTTCTATTAAAATATTTCTCAATTTATTATCGAGCACATGTCTTTCCCATCTCACATGTATGGAACTATTATTGAAAAAAATTCTCTAAAATAATTCCGAAAAAATTCAAACTCCAGACGTTTCTAAAATGACTACAAACTCCAAAATTGGAACCCACAAATTGTCCTTGGTTATTAGAACCATGACTACAAACTCCAAAATGTCATTTTTGGCATAATATTTGTTAAGAATATTTTAATACCATTATAAAAAATACACTAAAAAAATACTCTTTATTCTTTAAGGAAAAAGAAGAACCAAAAAGAAAAAAGGAATTTATGGATAGACTCCCCTCCCCCTTCTAACTCATCTCTGTAGCTCGCTCGGTCTCTCTCTCTCAAATAGTGTTCTATTTCTCTGATCACCGTAATCAATGAACGAAGAGGGAACACTTGTAGATTCTAAAATGTTATCTAAAAAAATCGTCTCAATTGCCGCCGGAGAAGCTCATACTATCGCTCTCACAGGTAATCTCCAGTCCTTCTCTCGCCCAATCATACGTCCACTGACAGCCAAGTACACGTATATATATATGCGTTTTGTGGTGAATTACAGGAGATGGGAGTGTATATTCGTGGGGAAGAGGAAGAATGGGTCGACTCGGAACTGGTTCCGAACACGACCAGCTTTTTCCGGTGCCAATTGAGTTCGATTCCTCATCGGAACGAGGAAAGCTTAGGGTTACGGAAATCGCAGCTGGTGGTTATCATAGTCTCGCTCTTACAGGTCAGTTTGTTGAGGATTGCAATTGGGTTCTTCAAACCAAATGCCATGTGGTGTCATTGCTCTAAGATTAATATTTACTTTGTTTTACATTTTTAGTTTTTGAATTATTAATAATCATAAGAGACAATGATTTATAAAAAAATCTAGAATTATTGTACTGATTTCTGCAATGATTAATTGTCTAATTTTGCTTAACTTCTAATATGCAAAAATAGGACCATACATATCTTTTCACCAATATTTCCACATTTTTAATAAAGTGTATATCTTATAGGTAGTCCACTAAATTTTTCTAAGTTTAAACTTAAGTAAATTATTAAATTTAATGTTAGTGAAACACTAACATGAATCCAAGTAATATAACAAAATTTGGATTATGTAGCCAGTCCCAAGTAGCTGGGAAAAGGCTTTGTTTGCTTTTTTTGTTGTAATTGTAGTTGTAATTGGTTGGGGATCTCATTGGCCAAAACATAACATTTGTGATGATACTAACTTGTTTAGAATTCAAGAGATCCTTAACATTCAGGGATTTACAGAGAATTAATAACTAGGGCCCTTCATTTAAAGGATACAGAATAGGGGGTAGGGAATGTAGGGGGTTTTCTTTCGCATTTCAATTCAAAATGCATCATTGAAAATTCAATTAGATATGGGACGAAAGATTTTTCTAAGTAACCAACTTCCTTCAATATGAATATGAAGAGACTGAGCATATGATGAAAAGCCCACCCGACTTTTTTGAATTCAAACTCTTGTGATCTATGTTCCCGTCTTACATTGATTAGAAATAGATTCAGTTACGTCTAGTTGTCATTTAAACTAGATTCCAGTTTTTGGATAAAAAAAGAAAAAGAAAAAAAGAAAAAGATATGATTCAGAGCAGAATCATTAAAAATAATGATAAAGATCCTTATTTTCCTTTCCTTGCGTGTGTGCGCATGAGCATGTGGTTGTTGTTGTAATTTTTTTTTAAAGATATCTCTCATATTATTTTAGTTGATTAAGTATGCTTAAAAATCTTTTTATTCATGAATAATCTTGATAGCTTTATTATAGATGGACAGTAAATGATTAAATTATGATTATGATTAATAATGAATTCACTTCAGGCGGGTTGGGTTATTAATAATGAGTTCATTTCAGGTAGGTTGGGTCATGACTAAGCCTTGGGAGGATAAAAATCAATGGACAATTTTGAAAAAAAAAAAAAGAAAAAAAAGAAAGCGGCATTTGGTTTTAAGTATTTAAGGTATCCAAAAAAAAATTTCTATTTTTTTTGTTTTTATTATTTTGGTTAAAATAGTTTGGTTGATCTAAAGGTATTTAAGCTTTATACATTACAATTTGAACCCAGAAGAAAAAGGCAACACCTTAAGGAATTTAAGCTTTACACTCAACAATTTGAACCCAAAAAAAAAAAAAAAGGAAAAAAAATGTGTAACTTTAATTAATTTTCTTTTCATCAGAAAATGGGCTCCATGGAAGGAAAAGCTTTGTTGAATTGTAATGGCCATAGAAAGGCATCTTTTTCCTTATTAGTTATTAATGGATCGTAGAATACAGTATTATTATAGCCTGAAGTCAATTGAGCATAGAGATTCTGAACAACCTAACCAAATATATAGCACTATTTTATCACGAAATGAGATGAAAACAATAGTTGGGGCTACTGTTCCCTTTGGCCTTCAGGCTTCTTCTGATGGCTGTAGGCTTTACAGCCTTTTGTAACCTTTGGGCCTAATTTTTGTTGGCCTTCAGGCTTCTTGTGATGGCTGTAGGCTTTACAGCCTTTTGTACATTTTCTCTATTTATACCACACTTATGAAAAAAAAAGATAAAACACATCTTGCCATAAATAGTATTTGTGCTCATAACCTTGTAGTATTTGTGCAAATATCAACATAATCAACCTTGACATTATTTTTGTGTACTCCGATTGTGTGTCAAAAAAAAAAAAAAAAAAAAAAACATTGTGAAGGTAAGGACTTGTGGTATTATTGAACTATCAGATATCAAAAGCCTCATTGTGGATATATTAAGCTAGTGTTATAATTAATATTGTTTATTATCGTTAGAATTATAATCTATAGGTATTAATTATTCTTTTTGACTAATGAAATGTCAATTAATTTGCAGTAGGTGAATGCTTTTAACCAATCTAGTTTTCTTCTTTTTTTTCCCCATTTAATGGCAGATGATGGATCAGTTTGGTGCTGGGGTGACAATGTCTGTATCCTTTAAGAGAGATTTTATTCTTCTAAGGCATCCAATAAAATTATATCTGATTATTGAAATTGCATCATAATTTCTCTGGTCATCCTTTACTGTTATATGGATGGCCAACTTGGCCTCGATGGAGGACATTCTTTGGTGCCTGTCTTGTTAGAGTCATTCCTTGAGGTGGGCTCTTCCGATTCTTCGACAGATGAGCCAGAAATGAAGAGTAAAGCACCATTGAAGGCATGGAACTGCATCACTTTTTGTGCTGAAAATAACCTGGCCAAGCCTATGTCTATATTATGTCTTATTAGTATCACTTTTTACATATTTTAGTAGCTATATTACTTTTGTCGCAGGTTTCTTCGGTCAAAGCTGGAGGAATGATGTCACTGGCAATTGATAATCTTGGGGCTCTCTGGATGTGGGGCAATTGCCCTCAGCGAAACAGCTCTAGTGAAGATGGTTTAGCTCCAATGCCTGTCTTGAATTTACATGGTCACACTGTTGTTAAAGTGGCATGTGGAAATGAGCATGTTGTAGCTTTGGTTACTGCTGGAGAGACATATAAAGGCGGTGATCTTGTATGCTACTCTTGGGGTAACAACAATCATGGCCAGTTAGGCTTGGGAGATAAGACAAGCAGGTTGCATCCTGAAGTCATTGAACATTTTAACCAGGAATTTCCTTGTGCAGCTTATGAGGTTGCATGTGGAGCATTTCATACGGCTATACTTGCTCACAAAAAGAGTCAAAGTGACACATTAGGAAGTGCTTGCTGGACATTTGGCCTTGGGGATAATGGCCAGCTTGGTCATGGAACCACCAAAAGTTCTTTGTTACCTGAACCTGTGAAAGAATTACCAGAAAATTTATCTCTGATATCTGTCGACTGCGGCTTATTTCACACGAGTGTCATTTCATCGGACGGCGACCTGTGGTCCTGGGGGATGGAAAAGGGCCTCGGCCTATGCCCTGATGCTAGGTTTACTGGAACTGATGCTGGAGATGCTGTTTCTCCTCTCTTGATTTCATGTAACGGGATGCATGGACCTAAATTTCCATCGCCAGTTCAAGTTGCATGTGGTGCTGCCCATACCGTTCTTCTTGCAGAGGCTGGATACAAGCTTTGGTCTTGGGGCAGGGGAATGAGTGGGGTCCTTGGAAATGGTAAGGTAGTTGATTGTTTTACTCCAAGTATTGTGTTGTGGCCCCCAGTATCGGAGGATATCAAGGAAGAGGGAAAAGACATTGTTCCTGGAGACACAAAGGGTGAAGAAAAGGATCCTGAAGGAATCACCGAGATGGATAAAAGATTGTCTATGGCAATGGAAGAGATAACTTTTCTCCGTTCAAAACTTTCTGTGGTCGAACGCTATGCTAGCATACTACATGGTTTAACTTTTGGAAAACCCTTCGAAGAACGAGACATTCCAATCTCATTGCAGAACTCAGGTACTTTCGATTTTATTAATGAATGGGACAACATGTTAGAGTCAGCAGATCACAGCAAGCTGATCCGTCTAGAGATGTTTTACCGCAACATGCTTGCTGGTGTTAAAGATAAGCTAATGAAGAGAAGGATCGGCGAGATCATCAAGGAGTGTCTCAATTCAACTGCAAGAAACTAAGAAAAGAGGCGGGCATAGGATGCTGGCAATTCCAACATTGTTTCTCATACTTGATGGCCGCCTATGGGTGGATTGTGGTGCTCCCATTCCTTTAGCTTTCGGCTTCAGTAAAAACTCTTCCCCTTCGTTTTTATAGATATTGAGTTTGTATGGTAACTCAACTTTGAGTGGAAAAACACTGATTTTCTGTCAAAGAAGCATGCTTAACACAGCCTATAGCGTCAATTCGAGCCGCGTCTAAACTCAATTAAGGGTAAGGCCCCGAACAAATGTGATCATAGATTCATTACCATATCATAGTTTTTGAGATGCATGTGCCACATATGCACCTGAAATTGTCTAGAACTGCCTTTACAAATGTCTGAATACCTCGCAGGAGTATGGTTAGTAAAAAGTGTTTTTGTAGAAGGTGCTGCAGCCTGTGGTCATTGATTGATTATGGGTGATTGTTTGGATAGGTTCCTTGAGTTCAAATTTTGGTATTAGTATGTTTCCATCATATTGTTACAATAAGAGGCCTCATTTTCAAAACCCATTGCATAAGAGGATTGTTCCCGTTGCCAATTGAGAAAAATAGAGAAACTCTTGTTGGACCCAAAATTTTCAGGCTTACCCTGTTGGAAATTTTTATATATAAATAATAAAAATTATTTTATGGTAGTATACACTAAGTTTTCTAAAATAGGATTGCAATGTGATTATCGATACTTGATGAATTGGATTGTACTTTTTAATTTGGTGGTCTAATTAGGAGTATGGTTTTATATAGTTGGATTGTGGTTTTTCAACTTATTTAGTAGGATTTAATTCTAACAATTTATATCTAAGTTTACCTGATAAGAAGAGAGACTTAGATATGTTTATTCGTAGAGAAGTCATCCCCCCTCATTGTTGTTATATATAAGGGTTTAAACCCTTATTTAGCCCTATCAAAGAACAATTCTTAGAAGGGGGTAAAACATTAGAAGGGGTTAAAACACTCTAATGTTTTGCATGATCATAAAGAATTGTAAGACTATCTTTCAAAATCTAAATGTATAAGTAATTTAATCATTAATCAAGTACGAAACTAAATTCTCTATTTAATTAATTGTAGTATTCTTGATTTCTACATGTGAATTACTTGATTAAAGCTCAACAATTGGTATTAGAGCCACGGTTAAAGCTAGAATTTTTCTTGTAGAAATCAAGATAAAAGAAATCAAAAGTATATCATATATTATTTAAATTTATGGGCATGAGAATTTCTAGATTCAATTCCCTATTTTTCTAATTGATCTAGAATTTTTCTTGTAGAAATCAAGATAAAAGAAATCAAAAGTATATCATATATTATTTAAATTTATGGGCATGAGAATTTCTAGATTCGATTCCCTATTTTTCTAATTGATCGTGCCTATTGATTTATTGTCGTGGTTGTGCACATGGCCCTTTGACTAGTGATTTTTATTTATTTTTTGTTTTGTTCCTTCGTCTGCTTGATTATATTGTCACTAGAATACAGTTTAAGAATGGTAGAATATGAAGAAATCAATTAGTATTACTTTGAAAAGTATGCCAATTGACTTGTGCGCCACTAGGTTGTTTTCATGGTTGATATGGGTGTTAGATGAATAGATAGATAAACTGATTAATTGAAACTAGCCCAAGGCCCGAATGTGGATTAGTTATTTCGGTGTCAGTATGATGTTTTGAATTAAAGCTCTATTGTTTCTTCCATATTTTGAAACATGCTTAGCATATACAAAGGTAGTCAGTTATTGAATTAGATTTTTGGAACCAATTACAAATTGGATGGACGATTGCACTCGATTTCGGTGATAATTAAATAAATCAATGAATTAATTTCGTTTTGCAACATATATGTATGTATGTGTTTTATACGAGTGTATAACGTACATAAATTGGCTTCTTAAAATTCAGTCCTATAGTTGATTAGGAAGATCAGTTTACTGTTCACATGTGCATGCTACCATATAGTCATATACACAAGATCTGGGGAGCTTCATTGTTAATAGCTGACATGTTTATACAGATGTTAATGGAATATAAGATAATATTATATTTATTTTCTACAGGGTCACAGAAAATATTTTGCTAGATTTCATGTGAATTTTCAAGGAATGATACATTTATTCTTTAATTAATATAATGATATTTCATGGTTGATTTTGTGTGAATCATAGACTGGTATGCGTGAAGTATTTTATTAGATTTTAATATTTTGTTTTTTCAAAAATATTTTACGATAACTAAATATTAGAAAATAATGGTATTTCAAGATGTCTCTAGCTCATGCATATTTCATAGGTAATACAGAGTTTTCACATTGTGCATGTTAGTCATACACTATTTGTGTGTTGACACTACATTTAGGCCTCCTTTGGATTGAGGGAATTGGAGAGATTTGGAGAGAAAAGAAGGAAGGATAGGATTAAGTGTGTTTGGTTGGAGGGAATTGAGAAGAAAATAAATGATTGGGAAGGATTTGGAGGGATAGGCTATCCCTCCAAATCCCTTCAGCACAGTAAAAACAAATCCTCTCAAAGTTGAGAAGATTTGAGGGGATTTGAGGGGAAAGTATGACAAAGATAGAATTAACCTTCCAATTTCTATATACAATAGGGCAGCAGCTTCTCAAGTCCTCTTCTCTCGCATCTGCAAGCGCCACTCCTCTTCTCTTGCGCCGCTCCTCTTCTCTTGCGTTTTCTGTTTAAGTATCTTCTTCATGTTACTACTACTAAAGAAAATCTGAACATTTTAGTCCATTGAAAGGTCAAGAAAAGAGATAAGATTGGAATCAGAGATGGGTTTTCTAGGATTTGCAGTAACGTGCTTTCATGTTCTTGCTTGGTATTGTATTAACTTCTTCTTCTTCATTATTATTATTATTTTTTTTTTTTCACCACAAAATGAGGAAATTTTGGAAGAAATTAGTAATTTTTTTTTTAATCCTACAAACAAATTAATTTGCTTTTGTTTATATATTTCTATTTTCCTTTCGAAGACCCAAAATTTCATGTTAGATGCTTTGTGATCCTCCTGGACTTGATCTGCTGCTCTTTATTTCATTTCAAGTTCATGCTCAGTATTATATATATAATATTGCAAAGTATGTGTTGGGAAACGTGTAAGTTTTAAAAAACTTTTGAGGGATTTGCAATCATGGATCTTGATTCATCACATAGAGACAAGTTTTATACAAAGACAAATAAAAGATGATGTATAATTCAATAAACAGGTTGAATACTTACATCAAAGGTCTGAGTAAACCTTTTAATCTTTCCTCTAAAGTGAATGTTCTCACTTATTATAGATCCCTTTAGCAAGATCCTTTCTCCTTCTTCTTGATTATAATCTTCCCTTTAGGAATCACCAATATACCTTGATGAATGACCTTGGAATTTAGGCTTGTGGTAGCCTCCTTTAGAAGAGAAAACAAAACCCTAAAATCTAGAGAGAGAAAGTGTATTCCTTTTTCTTGTTCCCAAAGTCACCCCTAAAATATCCATGGACCCATGTATATATAGGCAAAATAAAAATAAGAATAAGGAAACAATAAATCATTTTCCATCTCTAAATCAACTTTCTCAATTCTAACAGAACTCCAATATCAACTTGGGCTATTGGTGAGAATCCTTTTGGGCTTACTATTTTCTTGGCTCCTATAAATTAATCATTGGTCCGGTCCATTAAACCATAGACCCAATTCAATTAATTCATAAATTAATTTCTACTCTACTAAAAGAAATTAATTGCACTCCAATTAAATAGTAAATAACCTCTAAGTCAATGTTGCACTTTGACCCCTCTATGCTTAATTATTTATCGGATAATTAAAGCCGTCAATCCGACAACATAATTAATATAATTATTTTGTTACCTTTGATTATTTCCGGCTCGATCACAATAAAATATTTATTTGACAAAAATAATAATTTACTAAATAAATATATATAGAAAACATTTGTCTAAAACATACGAATGCCTTCGAATTTAATTTGTGATCAATCATAATCAAAACAAAATAAATACAAATAGCACTGATGCAAATATTGAGAATATAGACCTCTAACTATTAATTACATAACTACCCAAAGTGTCGATCTAAGGATCCCGAAGTATCCGCTGAACAAATCAAAGTAATTATTAATTAATAAAAGAGTCTATACTTCTCTCATGCTTGAGAGTCAAAAGCCATGACTGTAATAGAGAACAATTGTATACGACAGCTCTCGCAATATATCTCAATCTATCGTAGACTCGGTTCAAGTCTTAACTAATTAAATGTCCATCCATAATTACTGACTTTGAACCATTTATGATTACTAATTTATAACATAGTATTAATTGCCATTACATACATATATAAATATATCTTGTAATCAAGTGGACACAATCAATTCCATAATGAATCGAAAAACAATACATTTCATTCACCAATTGTATAATGCTTTAATAATAATATTCAGATAAGGAACCATGACTTTTACAATCCAAAATTAGAATTTGCTATGCTAGGGCACACATATCCTAACAGCTCCCACTTGCACTTATAGCCAATTTGAATCACATCTAACTCCCATGTTCTCCATATGACGATCAAACATCTTGATCGGTAAAGCCTTTGTGAATGGATCAGTAAGGTTATGTTCCGATGCAATCTTGGCCACAAGTATATCTCCTCGCTTTACTATATCATGAACCACATGATGTTTCCTCTGAATGTGTCTTGTTCCTTTATGAAATTTTGGGTCATTGGTTTAGGCTATAGCTGCACTATTGTCGCAATGAAGCGTCATAGGCCGATCTATATGCTCCACAACCTCCAGTTCAATTAGAAAGCTTCTCAACCAAACAGCTTCTTTTGCTGCCTCAGAGGCTGCAATGTATTCTGCTTCCATAGTTGAGTCAGCAGTACAACCCTGCTTGACACTCTTCCAACTAACTGCCCCTCCATTGAACTTGAACACATATCCAGATGTAGATCTCCTAGCATCTGGATCTGATTGAAAATCAGAATCCGTATATCCATCTGGAACCAGATCATCACCTCCATAAACGAGCATGAGACTCTTAGTTCTTCTAAGGTATTTTAAGATATTCTTCACAGCTGACTAATAATCAAGTCCAGGATTGGACTGATATCTACTGACCATCCCTACAGAGTAGCAGATGTCTGGTCTGGTACAGACCATGGCATACATGAGACTACCAACTGCCGAAGCATATGGTACTCGCCTCATTTGCTCAATTTCCTTATCAGTCTTTGGAGACTGGTCATTAGAAAGAGCCAATCCATGTCTAAATGGCAAAAACCCTTTCTTAGAGTTTTCCATTCCAAACCTGATCAGAACTTTGTCAATGTAAGACTCTTGAGATAAGCCTATTTTCTTTTTAACCCGATC